GTAGGCTTCTACAGTGGCCTTGATAGAAGTAGAGGCCTCAGTGTATCTTAGAATACTGTGAATGGACTTCTCTTGCCAAAGTTATCAAACTACCTTCAACTGGCTTGAAATTCATCCCTTTTTGCATTTGTAGAGGGATTTTCTTGCAGTAAACCACTGTGCAGTTTCCTGGCTTTTTCACAGATCATAGCTATAGGAATGCTGTCCCCTGTCAGCCATTTCTCATTCACCACACTAAGAAAAGTTTTTCTACCTTTTCCAGCATTGTTTCCTCTACTTGTTTAACATTGCTTCTCCTTTTGCCACATCAGCTCCTGGTAGGTCATCTTTATTCTTGAAATAGTTGAGATTGTCAACTTCGCCATCTTGTGCTCCAAGGCTAGATCAGTCACATGTATATTGTGCTCAAGGAAGAACAATTTCCTTCTTCTATTTAGTGGTTATTTTCTTCAAAACCTTCTTTAGACTCTTCTTGCTCTGCAATATCATGTTACCTTCGTTCGTGGTCTGCACATTCTGGTCACCTTCATTACTGCTCTGCACTTTCTTTTTACCACCATGCTTGCTCTGCACTTTTTTGGAGACAAACTAGATTTAATTACTGTGCAGTATGCTGTGTACTAAAAAGCACACCAAAACTCTTCACATATGCACAGGGCTATGACTGCAACCTGAACTAGAGGAAGCTGTGACCACGTGTCAGAGCAGGGAAGATGGCCTCAATCATGTTTGCTGCCCACTGCAGACCTTGTGAACAGACAGAAACCAAATTGTTCACAAACAGAAGGGTTTATGAAACGAGGCATGACTCTATAAAACATGTATCAGATCTGGAAGATTTAATACAAAATTTTGTATTACATGTTGAAGTAATAATAGTTTAAAATATACTCAGTTAAATAAAATATATTATTAAAATTAATGTATTCATGCTTTTCAGGTATGACTACTAGACAGGGTAGTATATACAGTATGTGGCTTGCATTACATTTTTAGTGGACAGTGCTGGTTTAGAAGGGACATCTAAACCCTAGCAGAAGGTGAAAACTGGCAATAAATACACAAGTAAATATAGTAAATAAAACTTGATCATAACACATCTCAGATATTTTTCTTCCTCCAGCATTTCTGAGAAACTGATAAAGTGTTTTCATTGTCCTTTATCTAGCTTAAAGTCACTTGACCATTAAGCTTCCTGGTGCCAAGGAAGTCTATAACTGTAGTGTCTGAACTTAGACATAAAGATTTATTTTCATAAAAGTGTAAAAGGGGAGAAATTCCTAGTCTTGCTTTCATATCATTATCTTCCATGTCAGAGTTTAAAGCAAACTTTCACGACACAGTACGCCATCCTGTAGGTTGGCTTGAATGGAATTCTGCTAGGCTTTCTCTATACCTGTATATACTTCCTAATTATGTAGACATCATAAAATTACCAACTGGTAAAGACTAATGGGAAATAAGGTTAAAAGGATAAGGAAAAGGAACTAGGGTTAAAAAGCAAAAAATAGAACAAAGCCAGGGTATGGAATATCTTAAATACCTGGTTAAGAATCTGCTTCCTTTAATTTGCTTTACTGGCAGACATTACTTATTAAAAAATGGAATTGACATAATCATAGTTGCACTTTGGTAAGATTCATATGGTACTGACCCAAAGAGGGTAGCACTACAGATTAGATTGGTGTCTTTATTTCTTTTATTTTGATTTTTTGGTTTTTTTGAGACAATGTCTTGCTATCTAGCTCAGTGTAGTGGATTGATAACTGGTGGTCAACTTATAACCGCCAGCTGAACTGAGTGAGTGGTGCTGGGTGTGGGAGGCCCACCTGGGGATTGTTGTCAGCAGCATAAGAGGCAGACCCGGAGAAGAAGAAGCAAGGCTGTTGGGAGCTGGGAGAAGCTGTTGGGAGCTGAGAGAGACCGTGGGGAGCTGGCTTCCTGATGAACTTGGCTGTTTTCATCCTCTGGGGAGCTCGGGACCTCGCTGGTACTGAGAATGGCTTCAGTTCACTTTGGGGAGCTCTGGTCCTCACTTGAGCATAGCTTCCTGGTTTCAGAGGGGAAGATGGTGCACTGCCAGCCTCCTGGAAAAGCTTGCTGCGTTCGCTTCCCTGATGGGAACTCAGCCATCCTGGTCATCGGAGGAGCTCGGGACCTCACTGTTGCTGACGATGGCTGTGGTACCTTTTGGGGGAGCTCTGGTTCTTCTGAGCATCACTTCCTGGCTCCAGTGCAGATCCCTCAGCCTGCTAGCACAGATCCTTCTTCCTGCTGGCACAGACTTTGTAGATTCCACCACTGACCTTTGGGCCTTTCCAGCAGATCCATGAAACAGGTCCGCATGAGACATTGTCATGGGTTTTGGGCCTCCAGTTGGATTCATGGAGGCATTGTTATGAGCTCTGGGTATTCAGCTCAACTCGTGTAGACACTGTTGTGGGATCCAGGCCCTCAGCTGGATTCCTTGGTCTTAGTGTGTGGATAGATTTCCTGCACTCTTTTGTATACTGTTCTTTGGGTGACTTATAAATAATCATATAAAGTATGTGTCCTGTATTATGTTGTTCCCTTTGCAGATTAAGCCACCCCAAACCAACACACTCAGGGTGGCCTTAAACTCACTTGTAGACAGGCTGGCCTAGAATTCATAGCAGTTTCCCTGTCTCAGCCTCCCAAGTGCTGGGATTACAGGCATGCACCATCAGGCCTGGCTAGGTCTCTAAATTAAAAACGTTATGTACTCAAAAGTCAAAAATCAAGTATGTGTTTCTCTCTCTCATATTGACACTGCTACTGTTTCCTATCACCCATCATCCGGGTGCCTCTACATTGTATCTTTATCCCATTTTTTGCCACAGGACACTGAGGTTGATTTCTTGGCTATTCTGAATAGTGCTGTAGCAAGACTGAGCAGAGATAACATTTTAACATGCTGACTTTAATTCCTTTAGATATAAACCCAAGTGTGAAATCCCTGGATCATGTGGTATTTTTCTTCCTAGTGTTTTTATTTATTTATTTTTTGAACATCCAAATGTTTTTCATAGTGACTGTACTAATTTACATTCTGCCAGAGTTTGAGAGTTTTCCTTTTTCTGAATCCTCACCAGCATTTGTGACTTGCTGTCTTTTTTATTTATTTATTTTTTTTTGGTTTTTCTCCGGTACCGGGAATCGAACTCACGACCTTGCGCTTGCCAGGCAGGTGCTTTTGCCGCTGAGCTATATCCCCAGCCCTTGCTGTCTTTTTTGATAATAGCCATTTTAACTGGGGTGACATGATAGCACTTTATAGTTTTGACTTGCATTTCCCTGATGATTAGTAATATCGAACTTTGATATATCTGTTGGTCATTTGTATGTCTTCTTTTGCAAAATATCTGTTCAGAGTCATTTGCCCATTTAAAAATTTATTTTCTTGCTATCTAGTTCCTTTTGATCTTCTGGATATTAACCTCCTGTCAGATGAATGTTTTGCAAATTTTTTTCCCATTCTGCATGTTGTCTATTCACTTTTTGTTTTTTTTTACTGTGCCGAAGAACCTTTTACTTTGATATAATCCCATTTGTCAGTTCCTATCTTTGTTGCCTGTGGTTTTGAGGTCTTTTCCAAAAAATTCTTTGCCCATATCCGTGTGCTGAAGTGTTTCTGCTATGTTATTTTCTGAGTGTCAGGACATAGAGTCATTAATTCATTTTGTTTGTTTTTCTCCGGTACCGGGAACCGAACTCATGACCTTGCGCTTGCCAGACAGGCGCTTTTGCCGCTGAGCTAAATCCCCAGCCCCATTAATTCATTTTGAATTGATTTTTGTATATGGTAGGAGATAGGGGTTTAGTGTCATTTTTCTGCTTATGAATATCCAGTTTTCCCAGCACTTATTACTAATGAGACTATCTTTTTTTTCCACTGTATGTTTTTGTCAAAACATTAGCTGGCTATAAATATGTGGCTTTATATTTGGGATCTCTCTTGTGTTATACTGGTCTATTTTTCTGTTTTATGTCAATACTATGCTGTTTTGTGGCATATTTTGAAGGAAGGTAGTGTGATTCCTTCAGCTTTGTTTTTAGTCTTGGCTACTTTGACTATTTAAGGGTATTTTTTGGTTCCATACAAATTTTAGAATTCAAAAAAGCCGTGTGAAGAATGTCCTTAGTATTTTGTTAGAGATTATATTGCACCTGTCAATTACTTTGTGTAGTAGGAACATTTTATAGTATTGATATTTTTCCTTTTTTATTTTGATTTTTTGGTGCTTTGCAATTTTTCTCATCTTTTAAAAAATAATTTAATTGTAAACATCTTTCACCTTCTTGGTTAAATGTATCACTAGACTTTTTTCCTAGCTACTGTAAATGGGTTTACTTTTTGCTTTCTTTTTGAATCAGTTCATTATTTGCATATAGAAAAGCTACTGCATTTTGTATGTTGATTTTGTATCCTGCACCTATAAAGAATTCATTAATACTAAGAGTTTTTTATGGTATCTTTAGATTTTTTATGTACATGACCATATTTCTTGCAAACAAGGACAATTATTTTCCTCCCTTTCCATTTGCATGGCCTTTACTTTTTTCTCTTCCTAATTGCTCTTGCCTTGTTCTGCATCTTAGAGGCAAAGCCATTAGCTTTTTGCTATTATCTATGATGTTAGCTGTGGATTTGTCATATATGGCCTTTATTTTGTTGAAATATATTTCTTTTATACCTAATTTGTTCAGTTTATATCATGAAGAAATGTTGAATTTTGTCAAAGCACTTTTCTATGTCTATTGAGGTGATAATATAGTTTTGCCCTCATTCAGTGGTTGTGGGGTATCATGTTTATGGATCAATCTCACTTGATTATAGTGTGTAATCTTTTTCATGTGCTGTTGGTTTATTTATTTTTTTGTTTTGTGCTGTTGGTTTAGTTTGCCATGCATTTTAAACTTTATAACCACACTATAAAGCTATTATTAATATAAGAAAAAAACACAGAAAGGTAAATAGCTACTTGCACAAGATATATTTGGTGTCTTCACAATAGATATTGAATCAATATTGGATGAATAAACATATATTTATTCAAATGAAATACACCTATGAAAGCATTTCCCTGTGCTTCTTTGTAATTTTCCTTATAAAAATGCCACACTAGTTAAGTACAGGCTAGGAAAGGCTCATGATAATAGGTATGCAAAAACAGCAATAATAATGACGACAATTATGATTGCTTCTATGGGCTTCTTGTGTCCCCACAAAGTTCTTATTTTGAATTCGAAACCCTCAAAGTGTGGTAATAAGATGTAAGGCCTTCGGGAGATAACTAGGTCATGAGGGCAAAGTCCTCAGGAAAGAGATTATTACCTCTGAGAATTCTTTTGCTCTTTCCACCATGTAGCATGTAATAAAAAGGCACTTCTATCTATGAACCAGAAAGCAGGCTCTCACTAGACATCAAATATGCAGGTATCTTGATTTTGGACTTCTCAGCCTCCAAAATTGTGAAAAACTTTTGGTTTAAAAAATCTTGTAAGTCTATAGTGTTTTGTTACAGCAGTCCAAATGGACTAAACAGCTAACACTTGAACTTCCTATGATCGGAGCACTTTTGATTTTTATATTTAGCTAATTCAGTCCTTCCAACACTATGAAGTAATTTTTAATACTCATTTTACAGATGAGGAATTTGAGGTGCCAAGAGGTAAGCAGTGACACAGGATTTGAATCTTCAGTGTTACAGGTTGTACTTTTCACCTGTGCACTGTTTTGCCTGTAGAACCTTGCTTTCTTCACTATGGTTCAACTGTAGTTTTACCTTTTGACTTGGATCCAGAAGACCAAGGTTTCCCTAACTTTTCCTTTTACACTTCCAGCAGTCATTTTGGCAAGCACTGCTTTCCAACGCCAAGGGAAAATATCAATTCCTTTAAAAAAAAAAAATTATACAAAAGATAATGTGAAGTCACCGAGTAAGATAGAAATCAGATTTCAGATGGCAGCAAAGGTGAACAAAAGCTAACCTTGCTGTATTTCCTAAGTTACAAATTTTTACTTAGCTACTTATTACATGTGGCTAAGACAAGGAGGAAGAGCTATTCTGCAAACTATTTCTCATCAGTATTCATTTCCTGAATGAACTAAGATAAATGTGTAGCTCAGGAATGTCTCAGCAGACTCCACAGAAGCGTTTTGAAATCTTTTAGAATTTAAGGTTCTTGAGGGCAGAGACTGAATTCTTACACCGTTAGTGCTTATCTTATTGCATGACAAGTACATATGCAATAAATGTTCTTTAAACTGGACAGTAAAGTGTGGGAGACCAGAGAATTGAGGCCTAGCTGGCCTCCTCTGTGAATGAAAGGGAAAAGTTAATACAGCTGAGATCAGGTTGTTTACCTGGACATGTAAATGGATAATGGAAGACAAGTTGAATCTTATGTTCCTTTAATTGCTTGTACCCATGTCTGAGGGAATAAAAGCAGGACCAGCCAGACACTTGGGGCTCCTCTTCCTACTAGAGGCAAGAGCCCCCTGGCTGCCCGCATGCTAAACTGTGCCTGTTTTTCTTTCCTTCTTGTTCTCCAGCCCCTGGATCAGACTGACAAACTAGCAAGGCTAGGTCCCTGCACGTGGTGCCCAGGACTGGGGGAAAGACTGGAGTGGGCTGGTTCCCCCGGGTGGTACCTGGAAAAGGGACCTGGTGGGACCAGTGGCATAGACCAGTCACCGGTAGCGAAGACAATACATAAATGGCAAGAAACTAGTTCATATACGCAGAGTTGGGAGTAGAGGAATGGGCTGTATTTCCATATTTTGCTTTCTTGTGAACTCCAACTCTTCCTTCAGACTTACCTCACGTGTTACTTTCCCCTAAGTACTTAGTAGCCACACCCTCAGAACCCTCAAATTATGTGTTTATCTCCAAACTCTCTGATATTACATGTTCACATTTTATACTCCTCTTCTAATTGAGAATTCTTTCTGGGTAAGGACTGCTTCTTATTATGTGTAATACAGTGCTTGAGACATAGTAAGCATGCAGTGAATGTTCCATGAACGAATGTATGACTGCATAGGTCAGACCTGAGATCCTAAGCCCTTTTCTACATACAGTACAGAAAGAAAGATGAAACCTGTATTTGTTTAGCATTTGTATTTATCGAATTACTAAATATTTATTATCGGCTATATACCAGGCAAAAGGAACAAATAGTTATTTTTACTCTTTTAGCAATGCATCAGTCCTCATCATATAAAACACATAGTGCTGAGTTAGCATCCACCGAGTCTTCAGTCTTCATGTAGAGTTTTCTTGCGTGTATTTTCATATATTGCATAGTGGTGTAGACCATGAAGTAGTCCAAATTGTATCTGTAACACTAGAGGAATTAACATTGCTTTTATTTGTGTTTGACAAAGCAGGAACCAATGAAGTAAAACCCTTCCTTTTGGTGGCAGTGGAACAGTATGATACCTAAAAAGAAAAAGAGTTAATCATTCTCCTGGATATATATCACAAAGTTCACTGTTTTCTCCTTAAACTGATCACTGTTATTTCCATCATAGGTTTATTATGTAGACAGAAAAAATTAAATGTTAGCTATTTGGAATACCAAACTAATATTTTTATATTTGACTATATCATAGATATCTGAAGAATAAAAAGTTTATTAACCTGAAAAAAAGAAGGAAGAGAAGAAAAAAGGGAATAAACAGAGACTTACTTGACTGCCAGGCGTCCATTTTTAGAAAAAGCCAATCCACTGGGATATAAAACACCACACACTAGGCCAACCAGTGAACTTCTCAGAACACAATTTTCCTTGCTTATATTATCTAGAAAACAAAAGTAAAATTTGGCTTTCTTTAAAATTCAGGGCAAGAACCCTTAAGACAATGTTGTGTCTCATGGAGTAGTTACTTGTACTGTCTTCAACCACAGAGCAACAGTAGAAAGAATATTAGAAACTCAAAGTCTATGGCACATAACAGGCTTAATGCATCTTGTTTGAAAATGATTTTATTATACTTTATTATATGGATAATTATCTTTTACTTACATGCTTGTAGAAGCAATTCCATAATAATACTAAACTAGGTGACTAGACACCTGGATTCTAGGTTAATACATGTATTGGCTACTAACTAAGTGTCAACTATGTGTTAGGGACACAGTAGTACATAAAAGAGACCTCCCAGCCAGTATACCTGGGTAGAAAGACATTAGACAAATATTAAACAAAAGATTCTAAGTGTGTACAATGCTTTGGAGGTAGTCTACAGAGAATGGATCTAGAAACTTAAACCTGCTATGAGACAATTAGAGAAAGTTTTCTTAGGGAAGGGATATTTAGGTAAAGACTTGGAGAATAAACAGAGACTAGAGGCTCCATTAATTACTAGTTGTAAAACTTAAGATAAGGTTGGGAGTCAGGAAATAACATTAGAAGCCCATAACATGTGAGACACTGTGTTAGGTATTTAATACACAGCATACTTTAATTCTTACAACAGTCCTCTGAAGAATATCCCGTTAGTCCTAGTTCATAGATAAGACAACTGAGGCTCAGAGATTAAACAACTGGCCCAATGTTGCAATACTTTTCTTCTTTCTTTCTTTCTTTTTTTTTTTTTAAGTGTTACAAAACTTAAGTAATAGGAAGTAGGATCTAAACTCATATGTGTAATATGCTAAAACCTGCTTTTTTCCCAATACGGCATGCTGTTTCTCATTTGAATATGCCTCAGTTTTGGTGCTTATCTGTAAAAAAAAGGGACAATACTTGCCCTGCCTGATCACGGTTGTGGTATGGATCAAACAGAAAAATATACGTGAAGGTATTTGTAAGTATCAAAGCAAAAAACAAACAAAAAACCCACAATAGTTAGAATTAGCATATGTTAATAAGTAACTACCCTTAGAAATAACATTACATGTTAATGAATTTAAATTTTACCTGAATACAAAGGATCAGTTACAAAGAACTTGCAAGTAACTATGGTAGACAAAAATGGAAGTGCAGTTAATGACGCATATGTCTTCAAAACATCGTATTTAACTTTGAAGCAGTTTCTCAAAATGAAGTTTGCCAATATTCCAGAGGTACCAGCTGATGTTGCAAGTAATAGTGTTCCAGGTGTTAAAGACCTAATAGGAAAAACAAAAAAATTAAATTTAACATAATATTATTGTAATGGATATAGTCTTTTCTCAGTAGTTGTTATTATGTATGTACTCAACATCAAATATTTCTTTTTTTTTTTTTTTTTTTTTTTTGGTTTTTCTCCGGTACCGGGAACCGAACTCACGACTTTGCGCTTGCCGGGCAGGCGCTTTTGCCGCTGAGCTAAATCCCCAGCCCCCAAATATTTCTTGAGCACTTATTATGTGAAAGATATTTTCTAAGTACCAAAGATGAGGTAATGAACAAGGGTAAAGCAAGGAAAAAGAATGAATCCTACCCATCATGGGACTTGTAATGTAATTGGAGGATATAATTTTCTTCTGGAGAATATTTAGAGCAGTTCTAAAATGGAGTTCTTTTGTGGCTATAAATAAATATAAATATATTTCAATGAATCCAAATTTTAGGATAGCCATTTTCTAAGAATACCTCTCTTTCTTAAAAGAATTTGTATAAAGCCATCTAGAAAAAGGTGTTTATGTTTGATTAGGATGGCTACAAAATAATTTCTTAATTAGCTTAAACAAATTTAATTTGTTCATGATTCATCAAACTTCACCCAAAGAAATACAATATATCCTGTTTTACTTATTTTGATTCATATCTAAATCCTCAGAAAATAATCTTAAACAATGGCAATAGAAGGGGCTAGGGATTTAGCTCAGTGGCACAGCGCCTGCCTGGCAAGTGCAAGGTTGTGAGTTTGATTCCCGGTACTGGAAAACAAACAAACAAACAAAAAACCAGAAAAACAAACAATGGCAATAGAAAGGATCTCTAAATAAAGTTATTAACTTCTAGTCTGGTTATGTCTCTTACTTGTCTCTTCTAAGATATTCAAATTTTTTTTGTATGATTTCGATGACCATTGGTGTTCTGAATTTTGCATCTTCTACAGAAGGACTAGGTTCAGCATGTGTATAGATCGCTGTCTTCATGCCCTAGAAAAACAAAATTCCATAGCCATATATCATGATTGTCTTAGTTACTTAGATATACCCTCAGGTCTCTTAGCTGTGAGTCCCTGTAAAAATAAAAAAGAAAATTAAATACTTCCAATATACAGTACCACAGAGTAAACATTCCCATTCCAAAAAGAAGGGCTAGAAGAATAGAAAAGAATTAGACCAAAGCATGACTGAAGTCCAGCAGGGCAAACATCAAATCTCTATGTCCAGCACCCTGGGCAAGTGGGGGTGAGATGTGAGCTCCAAAGGACTTGGTTGGTCCCACTTCTATAGCACTGCCAGTTCCGGACCATATGACTTGTCTCTTGGGGTGGCTCCACTACTTGTGACTTTCCTCAGAAGATGTTCAACATTCCTGGCATCTCCAACTTCCTGAAGTCACTGCACTTTTGGTTTCACTCTCACAGCTTCATGTACTGCCCTCTTAGGGGCACACACCCTCCTTCTTAAATTTGGATGGAAGCTTCATTGACTTCACAACTCCTACATTCCACATGCCTGAAAAATCAGTAGCACATAGATGATACTGAGGTTGTCTGACAGCTCAAGCAGCAGCCAGGCCCCCTTGGCTCATAGCTGAAGAGGCCTGTGAGTGAAAGAATCAGCACTGTGAAACAAATCCTAAAAAACCAATTCCCCAGGCATCCCTTCTCAAACAAGGGGTCTAGAGGCTCTCTCCTCAGAAGAAAGCTTTACAGTTTTGTAACCTTATGTCTGTAAAGAGTTGGGTCTTGTGGATTCCCAAGATGCCTTCAAGTCCTGATACAAAGTATGTGGCTTTTTTTTTTTTTTTTTTTTTTTTAATGCCAATCATTTCAGCAATCATGCTCTCCTTAGCAGGTATTTACTTTATGATGAAACTGCAAATTTTTCATGTGGGCTTTTTGCTCCTGATTTTTACTGTATATATGGCTGAAAGCAGCCACCAGTACCCATCTCATAGCCTGAATTTTGGGCTGTTTTAAATTTTCCTCTGCCAGATTAATTAGCCCATTGCCCTTAATTTCAGTCCCCTGTGGTCTTGGACATGGGAAAAATGAAGACAAATTTTCTTCCAGGGTGTAATATACATGGCTTCTAGCGCAACTGCTAATGGAGTCCTTGTTCTCAACTGAAACCTCTTGAGTCTGGCCTTTACTGCCTGCATCCTTCTCAGCATTCTGGTCTTCTGAAGTCTGATAAGAATTTCCAATCAAAGTTCATTTACATCAATCTCCAAACCTTTCTAAAGTCTCCCACAAACCAGTTCTAAAGGTTTCTAAACCACACGATCAGGAGAAGCTATAGCAACACCCCTACTTCTCTAGTACCAATTTTGGTTTTACTTTCCTGTCACTGGGACAAAATACGCAATACACACAATTTAAAGGAAGATAGGATTATTTTGGCTTATAGTTGCAGTCCATGGTTGGCTAACTTTAAGGTAGATACATAATGGGAAAGGGCTATGGCACTAGAAAAAGGTGCTCAACTTATGGCAGTGAGGAAGCAGAAAGCAAAGGGAGGAGCTGGGGAGGAAACATACCCTTCCATGTCACTCCCAGGTTCCATTCACCTTCGAAAAGCCCTAACTGAACACATAAGTCTTTTGGGGGACATTCTACATCTAAACCATAACAATGATATTAATATGAAACAAAGTCTTATAAAATTACACAGATTCAGATTAAAAACATTTAGAATCTAGTAATGTACCCAGTACTATGTCATCTGCTTTCAAATACTTTAAGTAAATGATCTGATCAACATTTACTAAGCTCTTATTATCTGTTAGAAATAGATAATATGAATCATACAGTAATTGAGAATTGGTAGGATAATGATCACCTCTAATTTTTTTGTTTGTTTGTTACCAGGAATTGAGCTCATGACCTTGTGCTTGCCAGGCAGGCGCTGTGCCACTGAGCTATACCCCCAAGGATCACTTCTATTTTTACAGATGGGAAAACCCAAGTTCTGAAAGTTTGACTTACATTAGGACTTAGTACAGAAGTCTAACTGAGATACTGATACTGAGTCTGTGTTTTCAGTAGTTTTTCCTAGTCTTTCTAAGAAAGTAACCAGTCTTTACCTGCTGTACCTTTCTTCTGTCTGTCATGAATAACAAAGCTCAGTTTGGAGATTATACTGAGTTTCCTGGAGAAGTTAGAGAGAGCAGGGATTGTTTTGGAGAACAATGAGAGAAAATCAGAGAGATGGGCACTAGTTGAGCCACTACCAACACTCAAGACATTGAGGAACCATAAGAGGTTGGCCAATAACATATAAAAAACAGTGAGGTTAAAAAAACAAAAAAGAACAAATAAAAAAACTCGAGTCTCAGGATCATTTCTGATGTTTTGATCTAGGTAAGAGTCTGGATCACTGTGAAAAGTCTTAATATTTGTTTCATCTTTTGCCACTCTGGCATTATGGAGTTTAGAGTTGTGTTTAATTTCATTTAAACAAAGAAATATGGACATTTCTTTCACATCTGTATTTGTGGTTGCAAATGTTTACTTACTACATCAGTAAGTGGAAGGTCTACTGATGCAAAGTTCAAAGCTCTTCATTCTATAGTTCAAATTAGCCAACACATTGATATAAAATCTAATGCCCTTCACAAATTACACCAGTCTTCATTCCAAAAATTTTTATAGTCAAGGTCATATACCCAATCTCAAATTTCAGGAACCCTAAGCAAGAGGATTAGAATAGATTAGGTAATAAGGAATATATGATAATGAGTGGTTCTCAGCATTTAGTGTGAACATGAATGACATGAAGCATTTTTTTGACATACACTTTCCTGAGCTTCCTCCTGATACTGGATTTAATAGGAATAGGGTGAGGCCTTGAATCTGCACTTTATTAACACCAAGGATTTCTGAAATTTTAGTCCATAGATATACCTTTAACTAGTTAAAAAGAACCATTCATTCACAACCTGTGTGACCACACAGAGAGCTACATGAACTTCATTAAGGAGTTATATAATTAGTAATAGTAGACAAGTTTCTTTCCCTGCATCATTGCAGGACTGTAGTTAAGCCAGTTCAATCTTTAAAATATCTGAGAAGGATGGGGAAAAAAAGGTATACAGCTACAAATTACAATCGTTAGCTTTTTCCTGTAGTCCAAATGGCAAATGGAACAGGGAGTAATAACTAAAGGAGAGGCTACAACTAATCCATCTAGCATACTATGAAAGCAAATATCAACATGATGAGCAACCAGAAAAATTAGATCCATTTTTGTTGTCTGTGATCAATGTCCGATAACATCGGCTACCTACTGTACACCCTTAGCTATGTAGAGGGAGAAATAAATACCCTCTCAGGATTCTTATTACAGGTCAATAAATACTGAAATAATGAAAATAAATAAGACAACAAATATTTACTGAACCTTAGTCTTCGTAAGACATCAAAGTATTGACTATTTTCATTCTCCTTATTTAAACACATAGACCAGAAACTTTCAGAAAGGTTTTTTTGTCTTGCTGAAGTTCAAACCCAGGGGTCTCTTGCATACCAGATAAGATCTTTACTCCTAAACTACTACTCTCAGCACCCAGAAAGATTATCAGCAGTACTTAAGATTTTGCTACAACCAACATTTCTTCTAAAAATTAACTAGTCCAAGTGCACTCAACTTTAACCATACTCGTACCCATAAGAGTGCATTTACGTAGGTTCATAGCTTGCAAAACATTTTTCTATTGTGTTTCTTTTCTGCTGTTGTTTTTCTTCTTGTTTTTGTGCGTCATGTTTCTATATGTGTTATTTCATCGGACGTTCACAATTTTATTCGAAATGCACATCATTTACTGAGCAACTGGCGTATGCAGGACTCTGGGTAATCAAGATATAGTCAGTGTAGGGGCTGGGGATTTAGCTCAGCGGCAAAGCGCCTGCCTGGCAAGCGCAAGGTCATGAGTTCGGTTCCCGATGCCGGAGAAAAACCAAAAAAAAAAAAAAAAAAAAAAAGATATAGTCAGTGTGTTCAGGAACCCACAACCTAGCGGAAAGTCAGGACAAATGCCAGGAATTTAAAAACAGAATGAGGTGTCATATAAAAAGTGAAGGAAAGAAAATGAAACTTAACTAGCCACAGTCTAAGTGTTAGAAGTCACATTTAAACAAGTATCTTAGAGAGAGAAATTTGGTGCAAATTGAGAGGGACAGAAAAAGAAGTACTCATAATTGAAAGAAAGGTCTGTACAAAGGACTGGAAACAAAATAAAACAAGCTACAGATCATCTAGAGTTTAAGTCTATTTTCGGTCCGCATTCCTCCCATATCAACTGGGGACTTGATTTAAGCTCCGCAAGGACTTGAAGCTGTTCTCTTTAGTTGTTGAGATCTTTTACGTGCATCACCTCAGAGATGTTGGGCAACACTTTCAGATTCCAGAAATCACAGTCCATACCACCCCGCGTTTCCTCCTACCTCATGCACTTCCCCGCCTCCCCTCGGCACCAGAACTGCATCCTTCAGGTCTGCTCCAGGGTCTTGCCCGAGCGCCGCCATCTTGGTGGGTCACGTGACTAGAGGTGGGCGGGAATCTAGAAAGCCCTAGGCTGGCAGCGGAGCCGGCGGAGGGCTGTACCTTTGGCCCCCGGCGGGGCCCGCCCCCAGCCAGTCAAAAGCCGCGCCCTCCACCCAGCCTGAGATTGGGCGCGGCGTCTGGGAATGACTGCTACTCATTGGCCTCCAGGAAGTCCAGGGCCCGTGGGCCCGCCCCCTTGCCCGCGGGGTTTCCTCCCCCTTGGGTTAGTCACCCGCGCTCCTTCTCCCTCCAACCTGAGGGAAGCGGGTTGGTTCGACTCCGGGGAGCCGCCGCTCGCCTTCCTCTCCTCAGGGCAGCTCGGCGCGGGCGCGGGCGCTCCGCCCCTTTCACGCCTTGAGGAGCTTGCCCGTCCGACCCGGTCTCTGTGTTTAAGACTCTGGTTTCTGTTTCCTCAGGGCCCCCAACCCTCCGCCCAAGCGCTGTCTGAGCACCCCGCCTACCCTCCTCCCCCCGGTCTTCGGTCCCTTCACGTTCCGTCCTTTCGCCCTCCTGGGGAAGGGGCCGGAGAGGAACCCCCAGCCCGGGCAGACCCCCTTGCCCGCCGGCGTTTCCGGGCGAGGGTGCGCGGGGAGGCCTGGCGCGCTTTTGTGCACCTCCAGTGCCCAGCAGTGCCTCCCTGACCAGGCCACCCCCGACCCTCCAGTCTCCGTGTCTTGCAGAAGCCAAATTCGAGAGTTATATAATTTCTAGTGCTGCTGTTTCTCCTGCCTGAGGAAACACTTCATCGCGTGGAGGGTGCAGGACATTTTAGCGCTCTTCTGTATAAGATCGGGTTGTGGGCAGGGGTGGCCAGCGGTGGCAGAGAGATGTCTTGTCCTTTCTGCAGAAGGAAGGTGGGTAGTTCGAAGAGAAATTGAGAGAAAGGGTGGACGTGGAAGCCAAACAGCTGCACTCTTAGGAAATCGCGGACCGTCTTCATAGCTTATGCATGCCTACTACTACTACAGCATCTCTGAAAACACCTTTGGGGAAAGGTTTGGTTTCTCCTCTCGGCAGTCTCGGTGTTTTTCCTCGCCGGATAGGGAGCTGCTGGATGCGAAGAGATAGCATGATGTGAATGACTCCAGGGTGAAGAAATCTGCTTCGCCAACTCATCCTGCATCAAGTGCCCGTTGAGTAGCACTGTCACTTTAATGTCTCCAAGCCAAGGGATTGCTTTCCTTTTCAATCCTCTTGGTTAATACACGGGAGGATCCGAATCAGAGGGGCATTAAGGATCAAGCCTTCTGGGCTTGGAAAGCAAAGAAGAAAAAAAATGAAAGTGACAGCAAGCTGGATCCCGTCTTACTGAGGGGGAGACCGGAACTTCTGGTTCATTAAATAGAAAGGGGCTTTTAAGTCTGTGTTTTACCCCCACAAAACTGTTCAAACTTCCGCCCCTCTTTAAAGACCAGAGTCAAAGAGACTTTTAAAAGTATTTTTTGAAGGGAGGAGTTAATTTTTTCTCTAGTAATTGAGGATTTTGGTCATCAACCAGTTCATCACTGAATCCGATCATGTATATAGTAGTGAGACAGCTGTCTAAATTTGGTTTGTGCCTTGAGTTAGACATTGGACTTCCAAAAATGTTGCTGCCTGAAGAGGTTTAATAGCGTTTTTCTATACTTACAATAATTTTCTCAGCTTTTTTTTTGTTTAAAAAATACGTATTTTATAAAAATCAAAAAACTTAAAAAAACTCAAAAGTTATTTTTCTCTATACTCTGTGGGCAATACAAAGTTTAGTTGGGAAAAACATACTTCTTTATTTTCTTTATCTGAAAGAGAAGACTCAGACTGGATTTAACAACTGAACAGTGAAGTGGTTTGCAACAGTTACCTAGTTTGTGGCCTCAATCCAGCTGGATCCAGCAGAGATTTGAAAAGAGATCTTGAGTCCTGTAGCAGTGGAAAGACCCAAGAATGCCAGTCAAAAAGAAAGGTGGGCTATGTCCTAATAGATGGTTATTTCTTTTCTTGGTTCTACTATTTGTAATTTCAATTGCATTCCATCAGAGAGTAAAATTTTGCCTGGCCTTGGGGTAATTTTTATTTTAATATCTTTTCAGTGTTGTATCATTCAGTAATATTGTTTTACTATAGTAAAATGAAGTAAGACTATAGTATTTTTAGACATGTATAATTTCATAAATCAGGTGTCTATATCACCATTTGTAATGAGAATAGATTCAGTATATAGATTTGGTGTCTTCTTTACCTTGCTTTCTTACCTTATTAAAGCTTACTTTTAAACAGTCTTTTGAAAAGAAACTTGTACAATGGAGCTCTTCCCCAAAGGTTTAATATTAATTGGGCAAGTTAAGTAGTTGTAAAAGTAATTTTGTTGGCAGAAAGATTATAGCTTTACCATGTATATTTTGATTAAAATAGATTTCAAGGGGTTGGGGATTTAGCTCACTGGCAAAAGCGCCTGCCTGGCAAGCGCAAGTTTGTGAGTTCGGTTCCCGGTACCGGAGAAAAACCAAAAAAAAAAAAAAAAAAAAAAATAGATTTCATATTTGGATTTAGTCAAGGGTAAATCTTTGCTTTTGTGATAAAGTATAACTTCTGAAATACTGTACATGCATTATTCAGTACATTTGCTAAAAAAGGCACACAGCTGTTTTTTTCTCTCCTTCAACAACTTTTATTACTCTAAACTGATCAAGATTCAGTGGGTTTCTGAAATAGTTTATGATAGGCCAGACTCTAGGAGTTTAATTTAGCCTACCTCTACCTCAGGTTAATTTTATTTGAAAAGAGTCTGGTGAAATCAGATTTTTTTTTTTTTACCTGATATGAAAGATGAGGTTATAAAGAATTCCTAGGTAGTTTTGAATCAAAATTTATACTAACACCCTTGAACTCTACTATACTTAGCTAACATAGACTCAAAATATTCGGTTGTATGAGTTGCTACAGTCTGAAACCAGAGCCTAAACTGTATGCTAAAGTGCATCCTGGCTCTGCATGGTGTTTAATCCTTCTACCTGTGGATTTGGAAGATACATTGAGAGCAATTTTAATCACAGAGATGCTTTTATCCATGCTGGTATGTGTAGAAAGGGACAATGTTATATGAAACATTTTAAATATTGAGAATTGTTCTTTTTGCCCACTGGTCTTTCCTAGTGGGATTTTTTCTTCCTTCACTCCTCCTTATAATACCACTGAGGATGTAAACTTGCTGAGATTTTAGAATCAGAGCCTGTCCAGATCTGACACAGTTTGTTTATCTGGAACAATAATGGCTTTGAGAATAGCTAATAATAAGTATAGTTCTTTGATTTATTTAACTCATTGTATGTTTTTTACTATTTCTACCCATTTCTCTAGATAGTCCTTTTAAAAATTACCTTATTATCTTGGACTAATAATTAAATTAAATACATTATGTACTTGTGTGTGTGAGAGAGAGACAGGGAGTGAGAGTGAGAGAAAAAAAAAGAAAAAGGGATAAAAGGAATATGTGGGAAGGAAGAGGAGGAAGCACAATTGATTTATTGGTGTAATTTAACTAAAGGTGAATTTAAGGTTTCCAAAACCAATAGACTGAGTTTCTTAAAAGTTTTTACCCTTACAGGAATCGTCACAGCAATGGATGACATATTTCTGAAAATTATAGTATGTTATAAAAAACTACTATAGGTGCATCCTCTTTCTCTTTTCTTTCCTTTTCTCTTCTTAAATAATGGACTGACATAATACATCAAAATTTCAAAAGAAGTTGGGCATTGTGGTACACAATGTAATCCCAGCACTCAGAAGGATCATTGCAAGTTCAAAGCCAGCCTGAACTATGTAGTGAGATTCTTTAAAAAAAACTCCCCCAAAAAACAAAATTTCAAAAGAATCAATGAATTCTACTTTGCAAAACAAATGTATATTTGTACTGTATTATACTAAAATATATGCCTTATGTACTTCACTTTATGAACTAATCTACAGAAATTATCTTTTTAATTTTTAAAATTGTTAGTATTAAGGTATATATGTGTTGACTATTATATAGAACTAACCATGAGTTATTACATGTACATTATATTTTTAGTTGGTTAAGCTTACTATCTCCCTGTACTTACTATATCTGTTTCTATAAGAAAAACAAATATTTTAGAGTTTAACAGGGACTTAGGTCATGGAAGAGCCAGATTCATATGACTGATAACTTGCAGTTATGGTGGGAAGTGGGAATGAGTGTGAAATCTCACCCAGCCAATCTCCAGGCTCTATTCTTGACTGTTCTTGGGTCCGCTGAGACAGCTACACTTTAAACGTAGTCTTTTGCTTTAGGGCATTACTTTCTACCTCCACACTCCCTGCACATTTCTGCAGGTCTCAGTTTTGTCAACAGAAGACTCTTCCATTTCCTTGTTAAAGATTTTTTGTCGTTAACAGCTCCCCTACCCTCCAGGATTTGTTATCTACAGTAATGACTTTTTTCCTCCAAGTATTGTCATTTCATTTTTTTTTATTAGTACATGTTTGCAGTACATAATGTTTACATTTATCATGGGGAGTTGGCACATGTACATAAGCACATCTCCATTCTTTTTACTTTCTCTTCTCTTCCTCTTCTCCCCTCTTCTCCACCTCATGGTCCTCTTTCTGATTGCAAAGTGACTTGATTTGCTTCCAATACCTTTAGGAAAATAAGACATTTTATTTTGTGAAAATTTAAAGTGAATCCAAGATTAGCATTCTCTAATATGATGCAAGATTAGTGGATTGTAAAAAGCTACTTCAATAGGACATTGTGAATTAAAATGACATGATTTCATACTGAGTCAGTATAACAACAGAAATATTTTTGGTGTCCTTCCCTATATTTTCAGCAGAAAGTTGCTGTTCTAAGGATAGGATGTGCTTCAACAGAAATTTTTAGTACAATGTAATTTAATTTTTGAATATTTTTTTATTTGTCATTATGTGAAAGTCATTGCTGTTAATACTTGAGATAAATGTTCATTTTATTTGTTTTTTGAAAAGTGCTCAACTAGTTATCTGCTTCTTTTTTTTTTTTTTTTTTTTTTTTGGACACAGGGTCTCGCTATGCAGTTCAGGCTGGCCTTGAGCTCACTGTCTAGCCCAGGCTGGACTTAAACTTAGAACAATCCTCCTGCCTCAGCCTCCCGAGTGCTGGGATTACAGGCACGTGCCAACATGTCCGGCCCCCAACTAGTTATCTTCTAAGGGTCTTTTAAACTGATACCTTTTGTCTATTTGCTCTTGGATCAGCTGAAATAGCTATACTTTAAACATAAACATTAACTTTCTATCCCCTCCCCACTTCACATTTTATATTATTTCCTTTGAATCTTTCTTTTGCAACCATTTTTGGTGATATAATGGAGCATATATAAACAGATTTTTATTTACTGAAAGTTAAATACTATCATTTTCAGTTATATATTTTAATGTCATATCTTTTAAAAGGAACTGAAAAATATTATATATTTAGAATTCTATGATGGTATCATGATACCATCATACATCTATGGGCACCCTTGAAATTGAGATTTGTGGGAGGGGCTCAGTTTTTTATATCTTTACTTTTAGTTGACTGTATGCTTTCTAAAAGTGTCCATTTCTGTTTTTCTTTTATTTTTTTTTCTCTCTGTGGAAGGGATAATAGAACTCTTTTGCTTATCCTTTCCTTTGAAGTTTTCCACTTTCAGTGTTTGTTTCCAGAGCTTTGTGGTTAAATTCTTTTTTGTAGTATCTTACTAATTTAATTTGACTCTCATTATCTGTTTATATTCTTTCCATCTCGAACTTTTCTTACACATAAAAATTTTTTGCCAGAATAAATTAAGGGAAAAATTTGCACCTGAATTTATTGACTATTGTGAGTGGCTCTTACATCTCTTTTGCATACATTTTACCAAATTTGTATTTGAACTTTCATATGTGCTATACCAGTGGTATATGTAGACAGTGAAAATGTTTTTTCCCTTGCAGCTAATAAAACTTAAAAAAGGTAAGCCTTAGATTTTCCCAGAAGAGATTAGAAAAAATAGTTATCAAAGGTTTGCAATTTCTGGCTGGGGATACAGCTCAGCGGCACAAGCGCCTGCCTGGCAAATGCAAGGTCCTGAGTTCAATCCCTGGTACCAAAAAAAAAAAAAAAAAAAAAAAAAAAAAAAACCCAACAAGAAAAGGTTTGCAATTTCTGTAACTCAAAGTAAAATAAGTAATTTACTAAAGATCTTTTTTAGATTTAAAACCTTCTGAAAGGGTCATCTTGACATTGGTTGAGAGTGTTATTGGAAATAATGAAACCATAGATTCTTGATGTTGGAAAATATTCATCAGTCTAGGAGGCATAAGGAGAGAGCATTCTGGATAGAGAAATAAAATAATATTTCCGTATTCAGCTACTGATTAGGTATATCCTATATGGTGAATAATAGGAATAGAGGTAAATGATCTGTTAATTGATTTTATTTATGTATTGGGAAAGTATGCAAATGTATACTAATTACTTGATACAGTAAGATGTGTGAACTTCTGGGTTTAGAGGAAACTACTTAAATGTTCCCTTTGTAACAGAATATTTTATTTTTCCCTTAGGCCTGTTATTGCTTACTGTCTTAGATAGAAAAGCCTATTCAGTGAGATGTGTGCTAAATATTGAATTTTTAAAGAATTGAATTAAGGCATTCAATTCGTTCATGCTTCTCAATGAATATCCCCACCCCATTATATAACATTTTATTCACTAAACTATGAAAATACTATTCTTAATTATATATTCTATATGCTTTTATTTCTTAATATTTACTATTACCATGTCAGTGATTATAAAATGTTTTTTAGTATGAGGCTGAGATGAACAATTTTTTTTTTTTTTAATTGGGGGAAGCAGGTTCATTTTCCTTGCTACAGTTTCTGCTCAGGAATTTGTAGAGTTAAGACATGAGGGCTTTGTAGCCTCAATGT